AGAACACACAAATGTTCTATAATATGAAGGCCTCAAAAATAACTTAGAATGGGAAGCATAGTGCTAAACCCTAAAAAATGATTCAAGATTTTAATACCTTAGCCTAAATGTTTACCTGTCAAATACTCTATAATTGCACCGTTCAATAGAATAGCTACTAGCCACTTGTGGCTAGTTATATTTAAATCTATTAGAAATTCAGTTCCTGTGTAACACTAGCCAAGCTTAAAAGTGCTCAATCGCCTCAAATGGCTAGTGACTATCACTCCTAAGTCATTAAAAAGATATCATTATAATCATTCTTCTATCATCTCAGAAAGTGCTACAGGGCAGTGCTGCTCTGCAAATACCTCTGATCATACTAAATCTGAAAGTTATGGTGTAATAAGATGTTATGAAACACCTGTACTCGGCTATGGCACATAAAACTATGTCCTTTGGCGATGGAGTATCATTTCTTCCTTCCTAAATAAATTGAAAAGTGATCATGTTGAGAATCTCTCCCAGTGTACCGAAGTAACCAAGAAAAGTCATGCTGGCCAATTGGTCAACCAAGAGAAAAATTAAGAAACAAATGAAAAACTGATTACATTTTGCCCTGTCCTTCCTATTCCTTTTATAAGAACGTGTTGGTAGTATTCTGTATTCTCTGTGCATGGATGTGCTTTAGCCCAATATGGTAGTTGGCAAACTGTGGTTCGCGAGCCACATGAGGCTCTTTGGCCCCTTGAGTGTGGCTCTTCCACAAAATACCACGACCTGGGCAAGTTTATTTTGAAGAAGTGGCATTAGGAGAAGTTTAAGTTTAAAAAATTTGGCTCTCAAAAGAAATGTGAATCGTTGCACTGTTGATATTTGGCTCTGTTGACTAAGAGTTTGCCGACTACTGGCCCAGTACGTAGCAGCAGAGCTGGTGAGGACAGTTAAGAATGAAGATGGGTGACGCTAACAATGCAACTCAAAGTCAATCCCATCCCATGCAACCAACTTAAGTGCCTCCTAGGTAAATAATCACCCTTCCCACCTTTCATGAGCTCAACTTAGTAGGGGTGACAAACTTGTAATCAAAAACAATGACACATAGTGATACACACAGTGAGGCATGTGTGTACCAGACATAGGGGTGACACAGAGAGGGCGTTTATAAAGCGTTTTCTGAGAGGAAACCAGAGGAAATTTCCTGAAGGAGGCACGCTGAGGAAGAGAAACCTAGGCAGAGCTGTGCAAAGGAACCACAAGTGGTTTGGCAATGCTGGAGACAAGTGTTAACAGAGAAGGATGTGGGGCTGGGGATCTATTTCCATGCCAGACCTCAACATGACACTACTTAGGATTATGTCAAGCTTGCCTTGGTCAGTTGGTCAACTCTCCTCAGCAAAACTTGCAAGCAACATGAAAACCAATCCCTAAAACTTGACAAGTACTATGCCTATGTCTACCATACAGCTAACAATATTGGATGGCAATCATCGGTAGGACCACCAAGACTTCTTTTTTTTGGGGGGGAGGGGGACAGTACCATTTAGTAATACATATTCAATACAAAAACATTTAAATTGTAACCCTGTTTTCAGGAAACCTGTATTGCTTGTGGATTTATTTGGAATATCCTTGGAAAACAGAGCAATGAACACATTTTCAAAACAAACGGATTACCCCCAGAGTTAAATATTCCCGCCGAGTTTACCCAAGAAACAAATGAAAGAAATCCAAGGGAGAATGGGGCTATAGAAGTTATGCTTCTGTATTCCAGACCAAAGTAGCCGTTTTCCTCCAAAATTTTCATGGAAGAACTTACGCTACTCTGTACACTGCCTTGTACTTTGGGCTATGGCCAGCATGTGACCATCAAAACGACATCATGGCTACAGGGTTTCTGTGGCTTCCTGTAAATCCTAGGGAAATATCTGCATCTTTTGGACTCTTCCCTTTCACTTTACATATGTGTTCCAGTCTCAAAAAAAAAAAAAAGTCAAAACCAGTTTGGCTCAGTGGATAGAGCATCTGCCTTGATTGCGGGCACATCCCCAGTGCGGGGTGTGTGCAAGAGGCAGCTGATCGATGATACTCTCTCATCGATGTTTCTAACTCTCTATCCCCCTCTCTTCCTCTCTCTAAAAAATCAATAAAAATATTTTTTAATGTTTATTTATTTACTACAAAACAACAACAACAACAACAACACCTCCCATTGAACGTGTTTTCAAGTTACTGGGCTACCCTCATTCTTCTCTTCACAAGAAATTTCGGGAAATATTGGTAGCCTATAGGCGTTTCTTGATTTCCGAGTGATTCTCCTGGTTTTAGGAACAAGCAAAACCCGATAAAAATACCTAATATGTAAATGGATGTATATGAACTCGCTGGCCCATAGGCAAGCAAATAACCAGTCCTCGTCACACAAACATGTGGCCCGGAGGTGAAGGTATATTTTCCAATGCAGCGTATGTAACGGTTGAGTATGAGTTCTGAAGTCAGCCTAACCTGGGTACTAACTATTCCAGGGTCATCACTGACCAATTTTAACCTCCGGAGCCCCAGTTTCCCAACTGTAAAATGGGCAAACAGTGTTCCATCGAGTATGTACATCCATGTCTGCGCAGGCTCAACGCCAGCTCATTAGTGACCCCACGCAGTGACTGATCAAAAAATGTTGCTACGTTAGCTATCTTTATCATTTCATTCCTACAGATGGATTCTTTCACTACTATTCCCTTAAGCTGGTTTTCTCTGTAAACTGTCACCCCCTCACTCTACATCAAAAGCACCCAGGGAGGGGTTTTTTAATACATAGTGCCCAAACCCTCCTTGGATTGGGGTTCCATTGGTCCTGGATTGGGTAGAGCATCCTCATTTTCCCCTAACCGCCTCTAGATGCTTACCCTGTGCAGTGGGATGAAGGACAAATTACCGGTAGGTACCTACGTGCCCAGAAATACACAGGCCGGTGAAATCTGTAGATTTCGGACCAAATCAGCGAGCAGGCTGGTTGCTGTGACGACGAACTGGGAATTGACACCCACGTCCGCGTAGGCCCCCAGAGGGGCCACGGCCAGGGCCACGGCCTGGCTCCCCCCACGGTCCATACCCGCCAGGGCACACGCCCCCTCGCCCCGGCCCCGCAGCCCCCACGGCCCCCAATGGCCGCTGGCCCCGGGCCGCTGCGTCACGGCGCCCCCCCCCCCGCGCGCCCCCGCACCCCCTCCGCCCACGGCACGTGACCTGACACGCGCCCGCTGCACGCGGGCCCCATCACAACAAACAGGGGTGGCGGGGGCGCGCGGGGGGGGCGCGGGGAACGGGCGCGTACCCGCCGCCTCCGCCCGGAACCGTGGCCGCGCCTCCGTCACCCCGGGCGCCGCCGCCGGCCGCGCGCCCCGGCAGCCCCGGGGCCGGAGGGCAGAGGGCGCCACCCTGTTTACAGCCCGGGCTCGGGGCGGGGGGGTGGGGGGGGCGCCCGGAAACGGTCCTCGCGGGGAGAACCCGGGAGCGCGCACCCCGCGCTCGAAATAAAACCGTCGCCACGGCTCCGGGGGGGTGGGAGGGGGGGCCGGGCCCGCGCGGGTCCTGCCTCCCCCCGGCCCAGCGCCTCCGCCGGCCGCCCAGTGTCAGCCCGTCAGGCTCCGCTGGCTGCGCACTCGTCCTCCTCCCGGGCGCCGGCGCTTCCGCAGACCCTCCCGGGCCCGCCCCCCGCACGCCCGCGGCCCGGGCTGCGGACCCCCAGCCAGCTCCCACCCCGGGGGCGCCGCCCCTTTCGCCCCCCGGCCCCCCTCTCCAGCCCACAAGCTGTCAGAAGCCTCGCTTCCCGCCTGACCAAGCTCCCTGTCGCCCTCAAACATCCCCACTCACCCTGCGCCGAGCTTCCAGCCGAACCCGACATCTAAACGGGGGATAGGGGTGGGGGTAAGGGTAGGGGTGGGGGTAGGGATAGGGGTGGGGGTAGGTGTAGGGGTAGGAGTGGGGTGGGAACATGCTGCATTTTCTCTTTAATCCGCCAGAAAACAAGACGCAGCTCTGCCCATCCACTCGCCTTCAGCCTTCCCTCACCCACTGACAAATAGACGTGCCCCCCACACCCCTGCTACCCACCTGCTACCCACCTGCCCGCGGGCACCGGAGGCCCCCAGCCCGCCTCCCGGGCGCGCGCCAGGGTGGGGCGGGAGCGATCCCATCTCTTTCCCTAAAGCAAGGGGGAGAGGGGCGGCATCCCCCACACCCCCCAGCTCCAAAGCACCCCCCTAGGCGGCCCACGTACCTCCCGGCGGGAGGAGGGCGCAGCCAGAAGCCCCCGTGACAGGGGCGCGTTTCCCTCCGAGAACCAGGCGCCGCGTCCTCCAGAAGCAACACCGCCCCCCCTTTCCTGCGCCGCCTTATGGCGGGTGGACACCAAAGGTGGGGTAGGTGGGGTGGTGGGGTGGGGGGTGGGGGGTGGGGGGCACGAGCCAGGGCTCAGGGGGTTCGGGATGTCGGTCTACGCAGAGGGAAGAGGTGGGATCTCGAAATGGAAACAGCCTCCCTCCCTCCCCTCCTTTCCCTCCTCCCCCCCCCCCCCTGTTTACCTCAAGTTTGAATTTTATCTGCGCAACATTAGTTGGAATGCGGACATTGGGAGAAAAAAAAAAAAAAAAAAAAAAAAAAAGCTCTCCACCCGCCAGCAGCTCCGGAGGAGCAAGTGGCATCCAGGATCCTCAAAGAGGGGGGACAGTGATCGGAGCCACGCAAACATGGCGAGATGGCCCCGCATTGCCGCGAACGCCAGGACCCCCGCCTTCCTCCCGCACCCCCCCCCCCCGGCCGCGACCTGCGTGCGGCCCCCTCCCTCCCGGGGGGCAGGCGAGGGGCCCCCGGGGAGCCGCGTGCGGAGAGGAAATAACAGTCCCCGGTGGGAAGGTGGCTGCTGGACCAGGGGACCCATCCGCGCCGCCGTTCCCTCCCGGGGAGACGTCTAAACCGAGATCCAAATCCCCATCCCCGAGCCCTCCCCGCCTTCCAGAACTTACCTTGGGGCAGAGCACCCGCGGCGGCTCAGATCCCTTTCTCTTTCCTCAGAAAACGATGCGCACGTAGTATTTGCAGCGCGTCTTCTTCTAGAATTTCCCCTAGATCGTCACGGGGAGGACGGAGGCCCCGGAGACAGGTGCAGGGCGGGCCCGGCTGCGGGCAGCTGGGAGCCGCTCTCTCCGCGGTGGGCGGCGGGGTCTGCGGGCCGGGGCCGGGGATCGGGTCCCGCAGCCTCCCCGCCTGCCCCCGGCGGCGCCCCTTCCCCTCGCCCCGCTGCTGCTGCCGCTGCTGCCGCTGCGGCGGCGCGCGGCTCGGCTGCAGGGGCGGTGGCGTAGTTTCTCTTCCTCCCACCTCTCCGCACTCACTTGTTTTCGTAGCCGTGGGCTCGCCGAATGCCTCCCTCTCCACGGTGTTGTTTCATTATATCATGTCCATCATGTGACACCGGAGAGGCTTCTCTATGGAAACTTAAAGGGGCTCCCACGTGACTGCAGCAGCGGCGGCGGCGGCGGCAACAACAGCAGCGGCGGCGGCGGCGGCGGCAGGACTGGCGGCCGCGGGCTGGGCACACGCACCACCACCCACCGCCAGCCCCTCGCGGCGTCCTGGGGGGGGGGGGGGTGCGGGGGGCTCCCGGCGCTGCCCGAGCCCGGATAAGGGAGCCGCAGCATCCGGGAGCTGTGGCGTCTGTGTGCGCGAGCAGCCTAGGCTCCTGACATAGAAAAACCGAACAGAAGGAGCGTCCTTCAATCCTTCCCTACAGTCACAAAAACCCACGCTCTGTGAAAATGACATTTCGCGGCTCCCACTTTTATTTCCCCCCAAGAGCAATGGGTTCTCTCCATCAGGTGCGATTACATTTTACCAGGTCAAAAAGAAAAGCCTGATCTGTACCTCTGTGAGCTCAGCCAGCTCTTGGGTAGAACAGAAATGACAGGGCAATAATAACAGAATCGGGCATTGGATACATAATTACCATCACCACCAGCTTTAAAGCTTTCTGGAATTACATTGCTCCGTAGCTGTGAATGATGCTTTGCAGGAGAACAAAAAATGCGATGCAGGTTTCTTTTCCCCCCCGCAGCTATATTAGGGCTTTGTTGCTTACAACAGTGAAAACTTGTTTGTGTCAGGAAGTGAGGCACACGAAGATACGACCTGGAAGGTACAGACAAAACCCGAAGTGGCAGTTTCTGTATTGCTTTCTGACCACATTCTTTGAAATGGCGAGGAGCAGCTGGTCTGCTGTCAAAGGCATAGAGTGCTGGTGGGAAATAAAATGATCAGGGAATCACGTTTTTCCCTTAATCACACGTTACATGCTAGACACTAGAAATTACAGGTGTGTGTGTGTATGTGTGTGTGTGTGTGTGTGTGTGAGAGAGAGAGAGAGAGAGAGAGAGAGAAAGAAAGAAAGAGAGCGATGAACATTTTAATATTTTGAACCAAAAATTTGTCATCATTTCCAATATTTAATAACCACTATGAAAGACTTCAAGTCCAGTGATATGTGGATACTGTAACATCGGTTTTGAGTGCCTTTTATATTATTAATCACAACCCTTTTATGGACTGATGACTTAAATCCCAAATACCTGCCTTAAAATTTGTGTGGACCATGGAGATTTCATCCCGTAATTACAGTTCGTGCTTTTCCATTTATAAGGAAATCTCCCTGTTTGAATTGGCAGAATTATTAAAGACTTCACATACAACTAAGAGCAGCATCACCTTTTCTTTTGGCCTTGCCTCAATTAACTATCTCTCTCCACCTCATCAGCCATGATGAATGAGCTCGCAGACATCCCTTCTAATAATTCCACAGCATGGCCCCCAGTCTTTACCTTCTCATCCAATGCGTCATTCTTCCATCCCTCTCCTCTTTTCTTCCCTTGCCTCCCAATTCAGCCCCCATGTTGCCAGGGTACTTAGCTCAGGCCTCGCCAAATACTCCCTCCCAGGCCTCCTTCCGCTGCAGCTCCCTCCCATCCCAGTTCTCCCCCTCCTACCCCCCCCCCCCCCTCCAGCTTGGTCTCCTTTCTCAGCAACCCTACCTCCTTACCTCTCTTTGACCTCCTTTATTCTCCTTCACAGCCTGGCCTTTGACTTCTTGGCCTCTTCTTCCCCTTCTTTGCCTGCAAAGCCCTGCCCTTACTGGGGTCTCCTTCGCACCCCATCTCTCTCTGGTCCCATCCTTTCCGCCGCCAAACCCCAGCATTCCTCAACAGCTCGGCCTGGTCGCCTTTAGCCACGTTTTGGGTCGGTGGCCCTGGCCTGGGAGGAGGGTTGGGGAGGGGGGGGGGAGAAGTGCGTGTTGCAAAGTGGGGGGCAAGAACCCCCTCGGCGGTGGCCCCCGCCTCGCCCCCCTTCGCCCCTCCTGAGCCCTGCCGGGTTGCGGCGCTTCCTGGGCGGATGGTTGGGACTTGCTGCAGCAGCTGCGGTTCTGCTGTGTCATGCAAGAAGAGGGCGGCCGCGCTGGAGGGGGAGGAGGGGAGGAACCTGATCTCTCCCGTAGCTAGCGAAGGGCTGGAGGCTAGCACCGAGCTCCCCCGAGCCTCCCCGGAGCAGGGAGGGCTCCGCTACCTCGGGGGCCCTCCCCACGGGCAGATGGTAAGTGGGGCGGCGCAGGTGGTCGCCTTGGGAAGGGAACGCGTAGGGGCGTTAGGTGGGGAGGTGGGGACAACGGAAGGAGCCCAGTGTGTCCAGCTGAAAGGGACCTAGGCCATGATAAGGCTGACCAGAAAAACGCAGCAATAATGACCGTCCGAGTATAACGGCCCCGCAGTTGACTCAGGCTACAGAAGCGTTGTGCATCCCCGAACCAGGACAGGGCTAGAGGCAACCATTCAGGGTGTGAGACCCGTCCATCCGCCCTGCAGCACCAGTTCTTTACGGGAGAGCTGAGTAGTGAAAGCCAACGTGCACCATATTCCTGCAGCCCGGCTGAGCCTTAGAAGCTGACCTGTTTAAAAGTGGGAAACGGTATGGACACCTGCCCAGCCTCACTTTAGCCACGAAAATAATAATGCTCTTGGCCAGTGGCCTCCGACAAACAGCCACTGGAGCAATTAAACAATCAATAGGGAAGAACAGCTTCGTTCCTCTCACCACCCTCCTTCCAACAGAGTCATTTATCCTGCTGAGAGGAACAGAAGACCTTGCGTTTCTATTCCCTCCCTCACCATCCCCATCAGCCTCCGCCCCACACAAGCTGCCCACCCTGCTATCTATTCACGCGCTATCTGACCATGATTCTTGTTGGATGAGGGGACCGCCTTCACCCCTGCACAGTGCCACCTCCACTACCCTAGGGGATTCGCAAACAGAACTGACAGCAGTGGATGCAGGGACAGGCTGGGCACACAGGAATATTATTTTATTTTACCTGAGTGCAGTTTTCAGAGAAACCTTTTATTATTATTGTTATTATTATTAATTATTCCTTTCCATTTCCCTCCTGGAAATTTTAGAGTGTTTTCTGAAACACCTTTTATTTTTACTGTCAGTCATGTATTCAGGAAAAGTAAGGGGCGGGTGGGATTCGCAGAGAGGCTAATGACTGTCTCCCAAGCACATGCTGTTGCTAGGGAACCGGGGCTCATCCTGCTTTCCAATCACTGGCGTCCTGTGGAAGTCGCATTTCTCAGGGTGTTATTAAAATGAATGGCGTTTGGTGGAGAGTGTGCCTGCCTGTGCTGTAGCATCCTGCTTTATTATCGATGGCCCCACACCCACGTATCTTGTTTTCCTAATTTGATTTCTGTATTTGCGTCACTGCCAGGGACAGCAAGACTAGACCAGTCAGGTTCACTTCCTGTTTCTCAGAACTGGTTTATATTTGGTTTCGTAGCACTAGCTGGTAAAACATTATCAAACCCATCCTCCTGGAAAGAAATCGTGCTTTCCGTGAAAACAAATTAGCCCAATTAAAATACTAATATGCATGGAACATGTCATCATTTGAGGAATAAAGTAGACTGCCCGTTGCCATTTGAGGAATCCATTCTTGAAATGTAAAGTTTAGGAAAACCCATCATCTTTATCTCCTTTTTACCCAGAGTTTTCATTCCTTGGTATTTAGAAGTAAAACAAACTCAAGTTGAGGGTAGATTGAAGGATGATATTTCTAAAATGAAGCCCAAAAAATACACATTGAAGCTGGAGAAATCATTTAGGCCAAATAAGGCACAGAATTGGGTGGAATCCAGGCCCTAGGAGCACAGGGTTAGCACTGGGGCGCTCAGAGAGCACCGTGTGATCACAAGGCCACACTACAAATAGGAGCCCATCACTTTGTGGACTATTTGTCTTTTCCCAGTCCCCTGTGTCCCTTGCTTGTTGTCCCAGTTCCTTCCTCTCTATAACAAGGGTATCACAAAGGCAATCAGAAAGATAAGCACTATGTAAACAGTTTGGTGGGTTCTGGTGTAGATCATTTGTTAAGGTGGAAAAGGTAAGATGTATTTGGCATTGAGGAAAGGTCATGTGACTGAAAGTTAGGAAATTTGCTCCCATTTCTATAGACCAGATGACCTTGGGCGAGCCAGTCCAGGCCTTTCTTCTCTTGTCAGTTTTCTCATGGAAGCTTAACCACAGTGCTGGACTCAAATGTGTCTAAGTTTCCTTCCATTTACAAAATTCTGAGATTATATTGAATTTCAATTTTAGCTGGATTTTGCAATGTTAAATTTTGATACTGAAACTTTAATACGTATCCATAGTGACCTTGGAGGAAAGTGTAATGGGTAGTGAGTTGCTGTTGTTACATCATTTTTTAGTGTCCATTTTCAGACAATAAAATGAAATCAGTCTTACTCTCAATGTACTTACTCTGCTTGTGTAGTGATGTTGTAGAAGCAACAGAAAGGATATAAAATTGTATGGAAAGGGCATTAAGTCATGTTAGATTTAGTTAACCCAAAATACTTTGATGAACAAAACGGTGGAATGGTGAAGAAGGGTTACACAAGAAACAATCACCTGAATCCTCATGGAGCTAATATCTATTTACCTGTGTCTTAATTACTGATAGGCAAACATATACCTAGCACAGATTTTTGAAATTTTCAGATTCAAGATATTAAGAAGTAGCATGAAGAAATGTGAGACTTGTGCCAGAGAGAAAAAACCCGACTTTAAAACCCCACTCTGCCACTTGATTTATTCATTATCGAATGCCTGGTCTGTGTCAGGTACTGTGCTAGACACTAGGAATACAAAGACAAGTAAGATAGTCTGCTTCAAAGAAACTTACAGTATAATGAGGAGGCAGATAAGTACACAACTGATCACAGTGAGACAACAAGAGAGCTCAGAGGGGGACCCAACCGTGGCTGGCCATAGTTAAGGTCCCTAACCATAGAAGACGAAGAGGAGTTCTGAAAGATAAGTAGAAGTAATCCAGACAAGTGGGCTAGTTAAAGAGAAATATATTCCAGGTTTGTTTGTTGTTGTTTTTAAGTACTCTGTGTGAAGTCCTGGAGGTGAAAAGGTTACCCAGAGAGTTGGGAGAGAAGGACCGTGCCCAGGAAAGTAGTAGATTCTCAGTTAATAGATTTTGTGGATGCATGGCAGGAGTTCTGAAGGATACACCTGGAAAGATCAGTAAGGTCTTGTATGTCTTCCTGAGAAGTTTCAATTCATCCTAAGGCTGATGGAGAACCACTGATGAATTTTAAGGAGGATGTCCATTTTAGAAAGATCATTACAGTTTGGAGAATTTATTAGTGTAGCACTGTAAACAAATGGACTAGTTAGGACATTAATGTTATAGGCAGCAAATGATGGACATCTAAACTAAAGCAGCAAGAATGGGAATGGAAAGAGAAGAAGGACTCAAGACATGTCTAGGAAAATAGGATCAACTGAATTTTATTGTTGATTTTATCTGTATGATCAGAATAGAAGGAGATTTATGACTTAGGTAAATGGGAGGATAGCGGGACCCTTTGCCAAGATGAGACTTCAGGAGGAAACATAGGTTTAGGAGAGAAGGTAATAAGTTTAATTTGAAACATGTTGAGTTTGAAGTGCCTGTGGAATATCAAAGTGAAGCTTTCTATTATGTAATTGAATAGGGAAGAATAGAACTCAGGAGAGAGAGATATGCTAGAATCATCATAATGTGCTAATGAGATGGTTTATGAAAGTAGATGACATACCCAACAGAAAAGGTATAGCATGAGAAGAGGAGAGGAACTACTCTGGAACCTTATGGAAATGCCAACATTTAAAAGGTGAGAAAACAAGCATACAAAGGAAGAACATCCAGAGAGGTAGCAGGACCAGGAACAAATAGTTTCAGAAAAGCCAAGGGAGGAATTGGCAACAGTATTAAATGCTAGGGAAAGGTCAAGAAAAACGAGGACTGAAAGTCCTCAGACTTAGTAACAAGGAGGTCATTGTTGTGTTTGGCAAGAAGGAGTTTATTAGGGTAGTAACCAGATTGCAGTGGATTGGGGAGTAGAGGAGGTAGATAGAGGAAGTTCTGGATGGACTGAATGGCAAGGAGAAGGGGGAAATAAAGGTATTGGGAAGAGAGTAAAATTATGGGCTGTTAAGGCTGCATAGAAAAAAAGGAAATAATACAGCAATATCAAACTTTTTATTCTGTGAAACCCTCTCCTTCAAATTAAATCACCATCCACCAGTTGTTCAAGTTGAAAAACACATGTATATGATCCTTCTCTTTTCCTCAGTCCTCACACCCAATCCATGAGGAATTCAGTGCAACCCTACCTTCAAAAAACACTTTCACAATCTATTTCTATCTCTACTGCTACCACCCATATATAAGAACCATCTTCTGGGCTTCTGTAATAGCTTTTTAATTGGTCTACTTGCTTCGACTCCCCAGCACAGCCAGAGCTGTATAAAGCATAAGACATAAATAAGATCTTATTTCTTCTCTTTTTACAATCCCTCCATGTCTTCTGATTGCACTTGGAATAAAGTCCAGACTCCTTTACAAAACCCTATGTGGCATCCCAGACTACCGCCTCAGTCTCCTCTCCCAACACTGCCCCCGCCCCCCACTCCAACCACACTGGCCTTTTTGATACTCTTCAGCCACATTGGATTTGCTCTTGTTTTAAAGGACTCACGACAGATATTTCCTTTTTTCCTGAAATAGTCTTTTGATCATTCCATTCTCTGTTTAAATGTTACCTCCTCAAAAAGGCCTGTCCTGGCTGCCCTTACAAAAGTATCTGTCTACCTTCCCAACCATCCCATGTCTTTTTTTTTTCAGAGTAGTAAACTTTTATTACTATTTGTTTTTTTGTGTATGTTTTGTTTTGTTTTGTTTTTTACAGAGAGGAGGAGAGAGAGATAGAGAGCTAGAAAAGTCAATGAGAGAGAAACATCAACCAGCTGCCTCCTGCACACCCCCTACTGGGGATGTGCCCACAACCAATGTACATGCCCTTGACCGGAATCGAACCTGGGACCCTTCAGTCCGCAGACCAACGCTCTACCACTGAGCCAAACTGGTTTTGGAAACTTTTATTACTATTTGTTTTTATTGTTTAAACCCTAAGAGGATTTCTGGCACATATTAGGCACTTAAAAATGTTCATTGGATGTTTGTAGGAGAAAAAAAGAGGAATAAT